TCTCTCTCTCTCTCTCTCACAAATAAATAAATAAATAAATAAATAAAGTCTATACCAAAGGTCAGAAGACAGTAATATACAAAAGAGAAGGAGCAAAATGCATTCTCAGGCCCACCCAGAACAAATGTAGGAGACACGAGCATAGAAGAAGTTGGAAATCACACACCTGAAATCTTGAAATAATAGTGTTGGAAGTAAAGAAACAACTGCAGAAAAGTAAGAGGAAATCAGATCAGAAATAATTTCTGAAGTAAAAAAAGAAATGATAACTATAATGAAAGAAGTACTACGTGCTTCTAAAGAAGACACTGATAAAAAATAATAGAGATTAGAAAAATGATGGAATCCTTAAAAAAACAATATAGGAAAGAAATAGAATGCATGAAGAGGATTCACACTGATATACAGGAAGTTAAAACCTCAATCACAAGCTGGCAAAACCGTTTGAATGAAAGTGAAAATAGACTTTCAGACCTTAAGGACACCATTGCAGCTAGTGAAAAAGTAAGAAAAGACCTCTTAAAAACAAATAGGATAGAGGAAAAAATAATTCAATATCTGCAAGACGATGCATAGATGAACAACATAAGACTAATAGGCATCAATGAGAAAGAAGGATCAATACAAATGATATAAAAAGAATATGGATGGAAGTATAGCAGAAAACTTTCCAGATATGGGGAAACAGTCTGTCATTCAGGTAACCGAAGCATATAGAACTCCAAATAACATCAACCCAATTAAAACCACACCCAGACATATAATAATCAAGATCCCAGAAATTTAGCATAGGAACAGTGTACTAAAAGCCACTAAAGAAAAGAAACAGATCACATTTAAAGGAAAACCCATCAGAGTAATGGCAGATTTCTCTTCATAAACCATCAAGTCAAGAAGAGCATGGAGCAAAATACTACAAGTCTTGCAAGGAAACAAATTCCAACCCAGACTGATATACCCTGCAAAATTCTCTTTCAAGTATAATGGAGAAGTGAAATAATTCCGTGACAAAGAACAACTGAAGAATTTCATGATGACAAAGCCAAGCCCACACAGACTACTAAAAGATGTTCTAGAGAGGAAGCACAGTTACCACAGTTCCATGAATGAGACTGGAAAGAACCCACCAAATAGGGCAAACAGTTAAACACAGGAGAATAAGAGGTATGCAAAAGCAATCTTTCAGTTATTTTGTATACAACAGCAAAATATTTCCATATGCGTATTCTACAAATGGACTTCTACACCCTCCAGGTCATGATTCTGTCTGGGTCTACAGGATAGATATCAAGGAAATACCAGTAGCTCAGTCCCACAAGTGACACCTGGCCACCAGTAAGTGTCATGGACGCTGTCCAAGTTCACGACATAGTAGAACTTTGTGTGATATGCCGTGCTCAAACTGTTAGAAGTGCTGGTCATTTATTTGCCATTCCAGTATTTATCTTATGTTTTATTCTTATTAATTCCTTACTATCATGAAAACTTTTCTTAGTTCAATGTTTTGAAACATTTAATTTTTTTAAAAATTCATTTATTTATTTATTTATTTGAGAGAGAGAGAGAGAGAGAGAGAGAGAGAGAGAGAGGTGTGTGTGTGTGGCCAGCTCAGCCCACCAGGGGGCGGGCTGGCTGGCATGTGGTGCTGGGGGATTGAACCGTGGTCCCTGTGCTTCGCTGAACTTGTTCTAAGTAGGTGCTTTAGACCACTGAGCCATCTCTCCAGCCCGAAACATTTAATTTTTAACTAATTAATTTTTTGAATATTTCTTAATCTTAATTTTTGTTTCAAGATTTATATTGTATCTTTGACTTACAATCTACTTAAAAGACATAGTATGATATTTTCTTCTAGTATTAGAAACTTTACAAAGCATATTTCCATTTTCCATTGACTTTATATTCTTCCTTGTCTTTTACACACACACACACACACACACACACACACGGGAAAAGTGTATGATCTGAAATGAGATTGATACTGTTTCAGAGAAATCTTTAATGACCTTTTAAATGGGTGCATCTAATATATTTACATAGTCCTGCATAACTATCATTTTGAGAGCTCTTTATTCTTTATCCAGGACCATGTAGCAACTTCTCTTGCCTTCTGAATTATGCTCTTTGTTATTTCCTATATGCTACATCTGGAGGTACTAGAATATTTCGAGTTTCTATAACTGGAAAATAATTTACCTTTAGTTTTCAAAGGTATGATTGCTAAGTATAAAATTCAGAGGACAGATCTTTTTTTTTTTTTCTTTCAGTCCTTTGACTTAATTAGTCTAGTTTCTTACACACTTGGTCTTTTTTTTTTCTTTCTAATGTGCAATAAGATGCTATTTAATTTCGTTTTTCCATACTAATATTTTTATGTATATGAATTAATGATTTTTTCTGTAAAATAGGTTTTGGACAATTTCATTTTTGTGTATCTTGGTATGATTTTATTCAAATTTCTTGTGCAGAAGGTTCATTTTTCTTGGAAATGTGTTATAAGTTCAGCTTAATTCAGAAATTTTAAATCTTTATATATTTTTTGCCTACCCCTTTCTACTTTGAGAATTCTAATTATATGAGTATAAGTTTCTTGATTTTTGGCACAAAGTGAACTATTATATGACTGATCTGCAAATTCTTTCTTCTTCATTTTTATTTTGGACAATTTTTATTGTTAAATTCATTTAAGTTTGTAAATTATTTACAATGTTTATTAATCTCATGCTGTGTATTCATTTCAAAAATATTTCTCTAAAATTCATTCTGTCTACATCTTATATCCTTCATATTTCAATATTTGTCTACAATTTTTTTTTCCCACAGATGGCATGGGTAGCTTTAGTCTAAGGACTTCATGTATGGTTGAATTTTTATCTAACAATATTTCGCCCAGTGCACTGGTCCCAGCTCCGAGCAACCTCAGGATTTCTTCAAGTTAATTCTACTTGCTTCTTCCTAAGATGAGAAGCACATACCTTAAATCACACAAGGCAATGGTTTTTCAAGCACTAGGGGGAAATGGCAGTAGCACATGATGGTGGTGCTCTGGGTATTAAAAGGCGTGTTCCAACCCCCTATTTTAGACTGAAAAGAGTGTGCAAGCACCTACTGTGTGCAGTCGTCTACAATTTTTAATATGCTATGTAATTATTTTCAATAAAGCTAATGAAAAATAAATAAATTTGAAGCATTAAAAAAAAAGAAGTGAACCAGAGAAATGGGAGAGAAGTGGACCAGAGAAATGGGAGGGGCAGAGGGTGCCGTTAAGCCCCACCCTTACAGCTGCTGTGGGGTCTCTGGAGCTGCCTGTCAGTTTACACCCAGCTCCCAAGATTTCCAGACCACACAATACCCAGACCTGGAATGCAAAAGAATGAAGAAAGATACATTTGGATTTGGTCGGGGGTGGGCATCCGTGCAACAAACAGAAAGCTGGTCTCAACCAGTGAGAGTGGCTTGGGAGTTTAGGTCCAGGCTGAGCTGGTAAATACTGGACCCAGTCTGCACAGGGACTGCAGCAGTGTCAGTCTTCTTGATCTCAAGATGGCTTTATTATTAAGGACTTGAAATAGCTTTTCTTCTTTTGTGTTAATATCTGTTCTTATAGCACTTTCAACTGAAACAGAAAATTTTAATGCCTTTATTTATATCAAAACAGGAATGAACCAACCATAGGTTAATATAATCAGCATGTCTTAGGAAAAAATAACTTGTTTCCAAAGCAATACTGATTTCCTTAGGAAGTATGGAAAAAATTATGTAAGTTTCCACACATCTAATGTTTGGTTTAATAAAACATAGACAGATTGTCATATCTGCCTTTGCATTTAATCTGTTGAGATATCAAAGAACAAAAAGGACCTAGGAAGCCCTGTGTGGTGGTGCATGTCTGTAACTCCAACCCTTGGGAGGCTGGAGGATCACTGAATTCAAGGCTAGCCTGGGCTCCACAGTGAGTTCACAGGCCAGCCTGCATTACACAGCAATACCCTATTTCAATTTTAAAAAGAGACCTAGGAATCTGTAGTGTACAGGAGTGAAAGAATGAAAGTAAGGCCAACAGATAGTATGAAAAAGTATTAAAATCTCAGATCCTTGAAACTATATCAGAGACTCCCACAAATCCTCAATTCATATTTTGGGAACCAAAGTAGATAATTCTGGAATTAAATGATGCACCTAAAATGTTGGCTTAAAAGATAGTGCTTTCAATTTATTCCAATTCAATAATCTGATTGTAAACCTTCGATGCAAATGGACACAATAAAAAGTACCAAGAGCATAGCTGATTTGTTAAGATGAAATACTGGGTTGTACAGGAGCATGCTGTAGTTCATTCAAGCTGCTACAACAAAAATATCATAGGCTGGGTGGCTCTTCAAACAACAGACATTTGTATCTCACAGTTGTGGAAGTTGGAAAGTCCATATGACCTCCTCCTGCGCCTATTTACTTAGAAGCAGATGCTAACAAATTACTAGCATATAATTTTAATTCAAATGGTACACATAATACAAATCTTCCTCTCGTTCTACTAAATTTCTTTCTACTCAGGTCGGCAGATGCTTCTACGATAAGGACATAAAATAGTTGAATTTCTAAATACTGATTACACACATACATTAATGATTCAAACACGTAAACTCACATTAGGAGGCAGGGCTGGAATTTCTCTTCAATGTGTATAATTCAATGCAGGTTCAGTTTTCACTTCACTTTCCCCAGAGTTTAACCGCCTAGCAACTGATAAGAAACATCGTCATTTTTGAGGCAATCAGAAAATCAATTTGGGGGCTGGGGAGATGGCTCAGTAGAATAGCTGCTTGCCTGGCAAGCTTAAGGGCCTGAGTTCAATCCCCGGTTCCGCAAAAGAAAATTTGTCCGCGAAAAATTCCTTACCGTTTCTCAAGCTAATACAAAACACGCTTCACAGTAAATTTGGCCTAAAGATGCCTCCGTAGTCGATAGCTCGAGTAAGGCGCTGTAACCCTACACTCGTGTGAGCCGAGCTCAGCGAATCGCAGCAGCCGAATTCCAGCCAATCACAGGTAGCGTTTTAGGTCGCGTCCGCGCACGTCTGGTCCGGGGTCACGCGAGCGCCGCTGGCTTTCCCCACCTAGCGGGTTAGCGGTTTACCAAGTTGGCGGTGTGCCTGGTTCCCCGCGCTGTTTTGGTGAAGCTGCGAAGTGTAACGGTATTGTAACGATGAGGAACTGTTGCTTGCCTGGGTTCTTTGATCCGTGATTTACAGATGGAGATTGAAGGCGTACGTGGGGGGCACGGAAGCGAAGCAGGACTGGAAGACAGGGCTGGGAAGTTGAGCGTGGGGTACCGAGGGGCCGCGCACTGGTGGAATGTGGAGGGAGGAGGACAGCGTGACGGATGGAGCCTGCCGGCTGAATGCGTTTAGAAACTGCTGTCTGGAAGAAGCAAAAGCAGGTTTCAAAAGTAAACTTGCCTTAGACTGGGGGTGAGTGTAATCCCAGGCTCGTAATCCCGGCATCCTGGGAGCCTCAATTAGGAGGATCTTAAAGTCTAGCCCCGTCGGGGAGCTTCCTCGACTCCGTCCCAAAAGTAGAGGCGGGGGAGACTGGGAGTATATGTAGCTCAGTGTGAACACCTTCCACTGAGTCGTCCGTAATGAGGAAATAATATCTTAAAGATTTATATGTATGTTGTTTTTTAAGCCTCATATTTTCCGGGTGCCCTAGTTACCCATACTGTGTGGAGCCCCTGACCCGAGCAGCTTAACTGCCCCAGTATGATAAACCTAGCCCCGGACGCAGGTTCCCCTTTTAACCTGGACACTGTCTCTTTTTGGCTTTCTCTGACATTTCTCACAGAATTTTTGTTTGTTTGTTTGGCGGCATCAGGGGATTGAAGTGAGGCCCTTGCGCTTGCCAGGGAAGCGCTTATTCCACTGAGCTATCTCCCCGGCCCCCTCTCTGTCATTTCTTTATCACTGTCTCTGCCACTCACACCTTAAGAATCACCTTGACGGCAAATGATGATTTATTTATTTATAGATTAAAATCTCACTCTGTAGTGCAGCCTGGCCTTGAACTCACTGTGTAGCACAGGTGGGGCTTGGAACCAAGGCATTTCCTCCTGCCTCAGCCTCCTGAGTGCTGGGATTGTAGGCATGCCTAAATTATTTTTTTTTTAATTTTATTTATTTATGTGTGTGTGGCCAGCTCAGCCCACCTGGGGGCGGGGCTGGCTGGCATGTGGTGCTGGGGGATTGAACCGCAGTCCCTGTGCTTTGCTAAGCTTGTTCTAAGTAGGTGCTTTAGACCACTGAGCCATCTCACCAACCCCGCCTAAATTATTACAACTAGCGGGCAGCAGTCTTTTAAATATTGGGATCCCTGCACAAAGACCTACAGGGTACTAACCTTCACATCTTTCCTGCAAACACTGCTGCTTTTGGGGGGAGGGGACCGACTGATTGTTGAAAGTTTCGATTTTTAGGGAGTTGGGGGAGATACTGGGAATCAAACTTAGGACCTTGTGCTTGCCAGACACGTGCTTACGCTGCCGCTGAGCTTTCTCTCCAGCCTGAATGCTTTCAATATGACAACGTGACCTATCTAGAAGGGTTTTTGGTGTAGTAATCCCATCATTTATTCATTCATACGCGACTTACTAATACATACAATGCCTCCCTTTTCCTCTGTTTCTTTTAGGGTTTTATGGCCCAGTTTCTTGTAGGGTGCTGATGTTAGGGAAAACTGAAAATCCTCACTGAAGAAGAGACAATAGAGATGGGCTTTAGACGCAAATCACACTGTTGGAAAGAACTGTTGGAGGCCTGTGGAAAAGAAAGGGACTCCTGAGCCCACAGTTACCTCCTTACTTTCATCCCTAGGCTGAAGTTCCTGGTGGTCATGTCAGTATCCGGCTCCAGAAACAACGTGGATGGCCATGTTCCCCAGCTGCCTCCCTGGGTGTCTGTTCACCCTTATGCTTGTGCAGTGGCTCTCACTGGGTACAGGTAAGTCTCCCTTCTTCCCCAACTTGTCCTCTGCTCCAGCCCCCTGGGTTGAAATGTGTCTGCAAGTACAAGCCATCCCAGTTCTTCCCAGGTGGGATGCAAGGATCCAGTGCAACCCAGGTGGATACCCCAAGTGAGAGCATGAGCAAGTCTGCTTTTAGGCTGAGCCTAATTCCTGTCAGTCTGCAGTTCCATCACCTCACCCAGATCCTACTCTTTGTTTTGTTTTTTTGTGGAGAAGCTCCCTTTGAAGTCCTTGGACCTCTGGAGCCTATCCTGGCCTTAGTTGGTGAAGACTCTGAGCTGCCCTGTTACCTTTCACCAAATGTGAGTGCTGAGCACATGGAACTCCGGTGGTTCCGGAACACACTCTCACCAGCTGTGATGTTGTACCAGGATGGGCAAGAGCAGGAGGGAGAGCAGATGCCTGAGTACCAGGCCCGAGTGACACTAGTCACGGACAACATCACCGCAGGGCATGCGGCACTGAGGATACATGGCATCAGGGTCTTTGACGAAGGGGTGTATGGGTGCTCCTTCAAAGACAACCAGGCCCGCAGAGAGGCCTTCCTGCAGCTGAGAGTGGCTGGTGAGTAGATGGGTTTTTGCTTCTTGGGGTCAGTTAAGGGGTATGTGAAAGTGGCTTACAAATATGGTGAAGTGTTACCACTGTGGTTAGAAGTTCCCCAAAAACTTGTAGGGCTGGGGATATAGCCTAGCAGCACAGCGCCTGCCCAGCAAGTACAAGGTCCTGAATTTGATTCCTGATACCAAAAAAGTGAAAAATAATGTAATGCTTTTTAATATTTTTTAAGCTACTCAGATATTGAAAATATCTTGGTGCAATCTGTATCTCAGCTCCATGACAGCGGAACTCTGTAAGCAGCAGCTTATGTTACTCCCTGTGCTTTTATACGTTGAAAGAAAGAATCATCTTGACAATTACTTGTAAGAACTTAGAAACTTAACAAGACAAAGCTGTGGCTCTTCTATGAGTCACAGACTCACCCCGCTCCTGTGTGTGTGTGTGGTGGGGTTACCCGGGATCAGACTCTGTGCTTGCCAGGCAGGCATGTATGCCACTGAACTATTTTCCTGGCCCCAGACCCAATTTTGAAAATACCAAAATCTGCTAACATCTTGACATAAATATGCATTCATATTTATGAGATATATATGTACTTTTTTAGTGGATGCTTTCTTTTGTTTTGTTTTAGGCAGTTTGTACTCTGTAATTTAGGCAGGGCTTGAAGTCACACTGCGCCCAGGCTGGCATTAGTCTCAGGACAGTCCTCCTGGCCCAGCCTCCCGAGTGTTTACCAACACACCCAGCTACTTTTTTAGTTTTTCTTAATACCCATTTGTAGTACATAATGACTACATCCACCGTGGAAAGTTGGTCCATACACATAACGCATCTGCATTCTCTTTATTTCCCCCTTCCCTCCTTCCATCTTTTGGTCTCCTCATTTGCAAAAGCTCTATATTTATATATTTGGCTAGGTGTTTTCTGTGTCCTATAGTTATAAAAAAAAAAAGGAGCAAGCAGCAAAGTCAAGTCTCAGAAGTAGTAACTTAAGTGTATGAGGAACCTGAAATAGAAACCTTTTAAGGGAATCCCAGAAAAGGAATGCTGAGTCCTCTGTGATTCTGCCCTTTCCCATAGTCATCCAGAGAAAAGCACAGGAAACAGTTTTCCTTTCTCCAGTCCTTGCCTGTCCCATAGTAGAGTAGATGTTCTGCCTGATTTCCCCGCTCTCTACCTGTTTCCTCTTCCCAAAAAAGGGCTCCTCTCCCACTGCTATGGCTCCGGCCTGTACCTCCTGCCCCCCTGATGCCTGTGGACTTACTGTTCTTCTGCCTAAAAGAGCACTTTGTGGGGCCTAAGGGTTCAATCCCCGGGCCTGCTGTGCCGCCCTGTCCCCATGGTTATTGAAACTGAGTGTGGTGGCACCCACTGTAATCCCAACTCTTGGGAGGCTGCAAACAGGTGGTTCACTATGAGTCCAATCTAGTATTTGAGACCCTGAACACCCTGTAGACTCTTCCCTAAAATACAGTTAAATAAAATAAAACAAGGAATTGAGATTCCTCATTTGAGTTTCCTATGAAATGAGGAATTGAGATCTCTGTTCCTATTCCTGGTTACTGTGATTCTGTCTAGAAATGCTGTAATTTTGTGGTTATACAGTTTCTAGAAGGTTAACCACCTTCTCTCTCCACAGCCCTGGGCTCTGACCCTCACATCAGCATGGAAGTTCTAGAAAGCGGCGAGATCCGGCTGGAGTGCACCTCTGTGGGGTGGTACCCAGAGCCCCAGGTGTGGTGGAGAACTCCCATAGGGGAGAAGTTTCTGTCCACGTCTGAGTCCAAGAGTCCTGACCAGGAGGGTCTCTTCACCGTGGCAGCTTCCGTGATCATCAGGGACACCTCTGTGGAGAATGTGTCGTGCTGCGTCCACAACCTGCTCCTTGGCCAGCAGAAGGAAGTAGGAATTTCCGTGGCAGGTCAGTGGGACAAGGCTGCTTCGCGTGCTGATGCAGCTTCAGGACCACAGCACTCGGGACATCTACTCGCATGTGACAGATGTGTACTCTTCCCTCAGCTCTGAACCATCTCTGGCTTGCTGTCTTGATGCAGCCCTGAGAAATGTTACCAGATATGTAAAGATTTTGGAGGTATAAGCTCTATATAGATCTTAGATTCCAGCTTTTTAGGATGTTTAAGAAATAGTTAACCCTTTGTGTCATTAAGTTCCATTTCCATAGATTCAACAAATTATGGGTAGAAAACTTGAGGAAACACATTTACATCTGTACAGAGCATACATATTCATTTTTGTCATTCCAGAAGCAATACAGTATGTCTCCAAACTACAAACATTTCAATTTTGAACTTTCACAGATACAGGCCTCACATTATGAACATTTATAGATGTTCATGGCACCAGCTAGTCACTTGCATTACATTGGTAATGCTGAGGAGAGTGCACATACCAGCTTTATTCTCAGTTTGTTGTCATTCACAATCCTCTTGGCTGTCCTGGGCATGATGGCACTTGCCTGTAATCACAGCACTGAAGGAAGCTACAGCAGGAGAAACACTGCATGTCCAAGACCAACCCAAGCTACATAGTGAAAGCTGATCTCAAAAAAATAAAACTCAGAGCTAAGGCTATAGCTCAGTCGCACAGCACCTGTCTAGCAAGTGTAAGGTCCTGAGTTCAATTTCCAGTACCAAAAAAAAAAGTTAACTATAAGGTTTTTATTGTTATTCATGTTGAAGAAATTCCAGTCCTATTTTTTTGTGAGGTTTTGTTTCTTTTCTGAGACTGGGTACCACTATGCAGTTCAGGCTGGCCTCAAACTCACTGTGTAGTCCAGGCTGGCTGTGAACATACAGCAGTCCTCTTGCCTCAGCCTCCTGAGTGCTGGAATCACAAATGTTTGTCACCCCAGGCAGCTTTCTGTGAGGTTTTTTTTTTTTTTTCCTCTCTCTGAATGTTCCCAGGGCACGACAAGCTTTCTGTGAGTTTTTGTGATAAAGTCATATTCATAGTCAGCTGTTTCTTTTGTGTTAGTTGATACCATGTGATTGTTAGGATATCAATAAGGAACTATAATTCTTTTAATATTTATATTGTATAATTCTTTGATATTTTACTTTTATTTGTTAATATTTTGTTGGAATTTTTCATATTTAATATTAAAAAATATTTACTTGTTCATAGGGTTTTTTGGATTTGTTGGGTTTTAGTTCAAAACTAATACTAGAGGGCTAGAGATAAAGCTCCACACCTGCTTGGCAAGTGTGAGGTTCTGATATAGTACTGCTACTACTACTACTACTAATAATAATAATAATAATAATAGCAAGGAGCTTATCCCTCAGTCTGCTGCATATCCAGTTTCGTGGGAAGAGGGCGGCCTCCTCACTGGGCTTGCCAAGCCAGCCTTGAAAATCACACGGTTCAGCTTCCTTGGAGACTCTGGTATTGGCCCATGGCTTTGTAGGTTGATTCTATATGGTTGGAAACTCGTGTGGGAAATTTGTTGCAGTTTTGTGCCTAAGGATATGAGCTATCTTGGTATGGATTTGTAGATACTTGAAAATAATCTTCATTGTAGTTATGTAAGGTGTTGTGTTTAGAGTGTCTTATTATTGAATAGTTTTGTTGAGTTACTGATTTTTCTCTAGTTGTTATATTAATGACTGAGATGATATAATTCAACTATAATTGTGAGTTTAGTTCCCTTTTAAATTTTATTAGGTTTTGCTTCACACATTTTGCAACTTTTTTCTTGGTTGTATTTACAGTTAAGGTTGCTGTCCTGGTGGGCTGACCACTTACCCCACACAGTGAGCCTCTCAAGAGGTGTCCCTTCATTTTCTTTATCTGACATCTATTTATCTGTTAATATTTTGCCCACTCCTGCTTTGATGAATGTTTATATGACACAACTTTTTCCATCCTTTCACTCCTAACTTGCTGCATCAGTGTCTACGGAGGGCCAGTTTCAGCTTAGAGTTGGCGGGCTCTGAGACAGAAACATCATGGCAAGAAGGCGTGGCAGGGCAATACTGCCCACTGCGCTACAGCTGAGCTGAGGACCTGTCCCCAAGGTTACACCCCAGGACTCCCTCAGAAATGGGGCTTTTCTCGTCTTCTAGGCCAGAAGTGGTGAACCTTTGAGAGATAGTGCTCAAACTCCAACCCAAAACCCATTTACTTAAGGCACAATGCGATACTGCAGTTAAACCTAAATTCTGAGGTTTTAGTTGAGAAAAAACAACTCATACATTAACATGTTCTGTCTTAAAATCAAATAACACACATCCATAGGTTCACGACCACTGTCCTAGGCCATCTTTCTTGTCAATCAAGTTGCTATCACACTTGCCTTCTGAAATTTTAAATAAATTTTGCTATGATATATCATTGGAATATTTCTTTAAATCTGCTCCCCTAATTTATTTTAATTGATGTGTTTAGACCATTTCCATTTAATGTAATTGTTATATTGGGTAAGTCTGTAGTTTACTTTTAGTGTTTTTTGTGGGAGTTTGGGGATAATTTTTGAGACAGGGTCTTAGTATGTAGCCCAGGCTAGCCTTGAACTCACAGTGATTGTCCTGCCTCAGCTTCCTGAGTACTGGGTTTACACATGGGCACACACATACACAAGCACATGCTATTGTATGTTTTTGAGTATGTCTTTGTATAGTTGTATTTGTTTGTTTGTTGGTGGTACAAGGGATTGAACTCAGGACCTTGTGCTTGCCAGGCAAGCGCTTATCCTACTGAGCTACCTCCATGGATCCCTATATAGCTGTTTTATTAGTGGTTTCTCTAAGTATTATAATATACAAAATACATTAGTCTTGGGGTGTCACCATTTTAACAGTTTAAGTACAGTTTGGGAACTTACCTTCCTCTCTGTCCCTTCACCATCGCCCATTTATAATAAGTGTGTGGTTACTTCTATGTACATTTATGGTGTACATAGAAGTTAGATGGTGCTACAATTTAAATATCAAACAATTCAGAACACTCAGAATTGGGAAAATGTATTATATTTACTCATTTTTGTTTGGTTGATTCTTTTTTCATTCTTTATAGTCCAAGGCTTTTTTCTTTCATTGTTTCTTTCTGTTCAGAGAATTTTCTTTAGCATTCTTTTAGAGTAAGTCTACAAGTAACAAGGTTTTTTTGAAAATCTGTTCATATTCATTCCTGAAAGATTTTGTTTAGTGGGAGTTTTCTCTTTTAGCAGTTGAAACACTTGATGTTACCTCCTTCCGGCCTCCATAGTTCACATGAGAAATCCACCATCAGTCAGGTCATTTTTGCCTCTTATAGGATAAATAATATCCCTAAGTTATTACAGACTGATCAGGCCTGCAATGTCCCAATGAGTGGACAGCGAAGGCTTAAATAAGTGAGACAAATGAAATGATTTTAGGGCTACAAGAGGATTCTTGCCCTCGTACAGAGATTTTCTGGGGTTTAGAACATAATGTAGCAGGAGGCTGAAAACAGGAGAATCACTATGAGTCCAATCTACACAGTAAGACCCTGTACTAAATACATTTTTAAAAAAAACAAAACTCAGAACTCACCCGGGCAGTCCATATTCAATAGCTTTTCAAACAAAGGAGGGGGATATTGAAGAAAATGCAGGAATCTGGGCAGGACTTGGGAGTCCCTTCCAGGTCTTCTCCAAGTAGTACATGATGTTAATTTAGAATTGTGCTGTCTCCTGGAAGGCCTTCACCACAAGAGTGAGGTGCGCAGCTGCAGTCTTTTTTACTTAATTGGGGTTGGATCCAACCGTCCTCAGCTGTGTGCAGCCTTGTCTTGTCCTTTGAGGCCTCACAACTTTACAGGCCAGGATTGTACACGAATGTGCCCCACTCTGGCTGCATGGTAAGTCTAAGTTTTGAGTTTTTTGTGGGTTTTTTTCAGTACTGGGGATCAAACTCAGTGCAGGCACTTGTGCCACTGAGCTATTTCCCAGCCCTCCATATAAGTTTTGTAATCTGCTTGTCAACCAAAATGTAAAATGAACTGATGGGAATTTGGCATTGACTCTGTGAACTTTAGTTTCTTTTAGCAGTGCCTTGTAGCTTTCATGGTAGAGTTCTTGCGTGTATTTTGTTAGGTTTTTCCCTGTGTACTCTATGGCTGTACATGCTATTAGGAGGATCGCTGCAAGCTACGTAGTGAGACCCTGCACAAAAGAAAAAAAAATTATTTTTTTAAACCCACTTCTCATTTTTAAAACATGACAGGAATGCTTAACTACAGTCATGGCACTGTGGAGCATCTTTCAACTCTTCAATTTATTGATTCTTTGTATTGTTTTCTAAGTATATTTTCTATATAAACTGTTCCAGGTTCCAATCAAATAGAGACAGAGACCAGAACGAATCAGAATTTAGTGAGCCTTTATTAGCCAGTCTGGGGGCTAACCAGCAGCACTCCACACAGGCGCAAACCAACCGTGCCCAGCAGAGCTCAGTCCTTTATAGCAAGCCTTGTTGATATAGCTGCGTGCTGTTTACAGCTAGGAGGTTGTCACAGTTTTGAGCGCTAAGAGGAACTTGCCCCAGATGGGGCCTGTTAGCACAGGATACGGTTAGGGTGGAAACACGTCAGTGGTGTACAACACTAGCAAGCTGAAGGATCTGCACTTGAGCCAGGAAGCGATGCTCAAAGAGCTAGAGGTCCCTGCCAACTTTGCCCAATAGAAAAATAACAAGAGCCACATTTATTTCAACCCATTACATAAGCTTATATGTGGCATAAGCAAATCATGACTTTTACTTTTCCTACTTTTTTTATTTTGCTTTTGTCTAATTAGACACAAGCTAAGGTATTCCGTGCAGGATAATAGGAGTTCACATCCTTACCTCAAAAGGAAATTACTCAAAATTCCAACCATTATGACAACTGTAAGTGTATTATAAAACTTTTATCAAAATAAGGAGTTTGCTTCTATTTTGAATTATCTTTTGTTGCTTTTAAATTTTCATTTCTGCCTATAAAATGTAGATTCTAAGTTAGATAATACATACAGGCAATCTCGTGGGCATGGTGGCATGTTCTGTGATTCCCCACACTGAAGACACATACACACAGGCTACAAAATTTTACATTCTTGTTCCTTAATTATATCCATGCAGTTTACTGACCATGCATTCTATACCTATTGTCTTTCACTAATCTCATTAAATACATTCTCTTCCACTTAATCACATTCTCAGTGTAGGTATTTTCTTCTATTTCTCAATTCAGCAAAAAACTGTAACTCTTAGAAATAAAATATCCAGCCTTTAACTAGTAGTAATGTCATTGTTTTATGACACTATAGTACCCCTTATCGGAAGTGCATTTTGTTTTTTTTAATTAGGACTGGGTTTACAGGGTCTCTGTAGATCAGACTCCTAGTGATTCTTCTGCTTTCAGCCTCCCAAGTGCTGGGATTACAGGGGCCACCACCATGCCCAGTCTCAATCACAGGTTTAGCGCACCTCCAGGGGTGCGGCCAGCATGCAAGCCAGGGATCAAACCCCAGCCCCCTGTGTCTGCCTAAGGAGGCACTTTAATCCACTGAGCTATCGCCAGCCCTAGAATTTCTAATGTCATTGTTTTATAACACTATTCAGTACCCCTTATCAAACTTTCTCTTCTAACGATGATTAAAAAAAATAAATAAATTTAAAAAATTGTTTTTCACATAGAATTTCATGTAAAGAAAATCAGAGTCACTGCCATTTACTACTTGAGCAACTCAGGCAACATTCAAATACTTGACTTTCATGGGCCTCATTTTCTTTTTTATTTTTATTGGTACATTTTAGATAAATAATTATAATAGCCTTTATAAGGGATTTGTACCTGTACATGATATAACTTCTTTTTTAACCATTCCCCTCCCTTCCCTTCAACCCGTTTCCCTCATTCACAAAAATCTTTGTTTCCATTTTTTCCCTTTTCCTGTCTTTCCTTTTTCCTTACCCTGTCCCTTGTCATTTGAACATTGTCTTCCTATTTTCCAGTATCTTTTATAAATTGTATTCCTTATTTGTACTTTTGGTTTCTTGCAACTGAGAATCAATGCAGGATTTAAGCATGTGTCCAATTTATTTCACTTGAGTATGTTGTCAAGGAGCATCCATTTAGCTATAAATGTATCAGACTTAATGTTCTTTACAGCAGCGTAGTACTTCTTTGTATTTAAAAAAAAAATTTTTATCCACTCATCAGTTGATAGGCATTTGGGCAGTTTCCAAGACTTAGCTATTCCACACTGTACAACTATAAACATGGGTGCACATGTTACCACTGTGGCATGGTGCTTTTAATTCTTATGGCAAGATACTGAAAAAGGGCATACCTGTTATCCCAGCACTGGGAAGGCTGAAGACAGGAGGATCACACCAAGTCTGAGCTGCATAGTGAGACTCTGTACCAAATGCATACATACATACATGCATACATAGAAGCTATCTTTCTTCCTAGGAAGATGTTGGCCTTCTTTGTTAAAGGTAGGGTGGCTGAATGTTTGAAATTGTTTCTGCATCTTCTAATCTGTTCCATTGCTCCTCTGGTCTGTTTTTTGTTTTGTTTTGTTTATTTTTTCAGTGCCATACTATTTTATAGTATATCAAGTCAGAGATTATGAAGCCTGCTGCCTTGCCACAAATTGTTTTTACTAGTCTAGGTCTCTTCTGTTTCCAAATGAAATTTAAGAATTATTGAGCTTCATTTTCTTTTCTTCCTTTCTTTTTGTTTTTGATTTTGATTTTTTGAGACAGGGTCTTACTGTGTAGTACAGGCTGGCCTTGAATTCATAGCAGTTCTCCTGCCTCAACCTCCCAAGTGCTGGGATTATAGGTGTGCACCACCACACCCAGTCAAGCCTCATTTTTTAGTACATAAAAATAGTAAGAAAAGTTTTGATCTCATAAAAATTATTGAGGATTAAATATGATGGTATGTAGGAAAATGTCCATCTCGGGGGCTGGTGAGATGGCTCAGTGGTCTAAAGCACCTACTTGGAACAAGTTTAGCAAAGCACAGGGACTGCTGTTAAATCCCCCAGCACCACATGCCAGCCAGCCCTGCCCCCTGGTGGGCTGAGCTGGCCACACACACACACACAAATAAATAAATTTTTTAAAAAATAAAAAAATGTCTAACTCAGTGTTGGTAAATCATATTAATTTCCCACAATATTCTGGGTATTCTAAAGGGACAAGCCAGTTAGAATAGTTACAATAGTATAAACAAGACCAGTCCATAAAGAATTTTACATAAGAATGATTTCACATCCCAGCATATACGTTGGCATAGTAATCTCCCATCTTATAAAGGGTAATAAGTGAGAGAGTAATAGGCTTAGAGAATTACAGTGTGAATGCCATGAAAACAGGTATCTGTGGGCTTTATTTATTACTATGCATCCTGGGTCTAGAACAGTGCCTGCCGTATACTGTGCAGTCAGTAAAAGTGTGTGGTGAATGAATGGATGAATGAATGAGTTAATGAGACAGTAACCTCTTCCTAAGAGAAGTTCTCCTAAACTTAACAAGTAGTGACTTTAGCCAAAAGAGACTGTCATCTTCAGAATGGCTGCAGACTGAACTGAGTGTCTCAGTAAAAGTTCTTTGCGATTGTGTTTGTATAACTCCTGGGTGGATATATTGGCCTAACTTTTGGACCATCCCCAAAAATTTTTTTTGTTTTGTTTTTGTTTTTAGGGGGCTTGCCAGTTAGCTCAGTTGTTTAAGGGCCTGCATGGGCAAACCCAATCAGGCTTGCAGGACTGCAGTTCGACTCCCAGTTCCACATGCCACACCACATCCACCCTTAAGGCAGCCTGAGCCAGCCAAAAAAAACCCTTTTTTTTTTTTTAAGACAAGGTTGCACTTTTCCAGAAGAAAAGGACCCTCCGTCTAGGGAATAGTGCTTCTCAAGCATGTCTCTTCAACTTTTGAGAATGGGAGATTTTTGTTTATTTCATTTTATTTTGAGGCAGGGTCTCACTGTGTACTTCAGGCTGACCTTGAGCTCACTTTGTAGCCAGGCTGGTCTCAGACTTGGCAACAGACCTCCTGCCTCAGCCTCTTGAGTGCTGGGATAACAGGGGTGTGTTACCATGCTCCCCCTGGGAGATTGGTTTTTTGCAATAGAATGCCTATTCCAAAAAAATTCTTCCCTTGAAAAAAACAAACCTTGTTGAGTCCATCACCACATACATGTCAGTTGGGCAAGGAAGATTCCTGAGGCTGCACGACCTTTTGCCTTTTCCCGGTTGAATCCTGAGAGGAGAGAAGGTAGATCGGGGAATCTCCAGTAAGTGGGCAATCTTCCCTTTCATGAAGGTCATCAGTAGAACCCAATTCTGTCACATTCACAGATGCTCTTTCCCATCTACCTTTGCACTTTAGATGAATTTTGAAATCAACCTCAATAAGTAAATCTTTTTTTTTCAAACAGTTCCCAACTGTGATAACTTTTTTTGTTGTTTTGAGACAGGAGTCTCACTATGTGATTCAGATTGGTCCTGATCTCACTATGTAGCCTTGAACTCAGTAATCCTCCTGCCTCAGCCTCCCTAGTGCTAGGATTACGCGCATGCGTCAAATGACTCTTGTTTTGTTGGTCTTTTTTTTTTTTCTTTCCTCCCAGTGAGATTCAAAACATTTCTGAAAGTGTTGGGATGGAGCAGCCACTGTTGCTGACAAAGGAAGACTTGGTCATTGATTAGAGCAAGATGGGGCATATGGGGGAAGGGTGGGGGTTATATGCAAAGCTTAATAAACATTTCCTTGGGCTTTTGTTTCAGCTCCCTCTAACACAATTTGGATTTTCATCGTGGTTGCAGTTTTCATGGGACTTACTGGAATATTTATCACTTGGCAACTATGTAGAAAATACATAAAGGAAAAGACAAAGGATGAAAGGGGTCCCATAGGTGAGTCCTACTGCATAGGTTACTCTTCACAGGTATTTGTATCAAGTAAAGAATTAACAGTGGGGGGTCGACTAAGTTATCCTATAAGTTGCAGTCTTCTTCAGTCTGTTATTTCAAAATGTACAAAATCAAAAGGAAGCATGAGTATATAAACTGTGCAAAGGTTGAAGAGAAAGGAGGGTTTTTTTACAGAGTTGGAACCATGAGAGCCAGTAGTGGCACTATGTCACCAGTTCCCACGCCTTGGGGACACAGCTGGGGGTGGGAGTTGGGGAGCTGCCAGGCGAGTGTGGTGCAGAAACAGAATAGGAAGAGGAAATGTGTTCACCTCCTAACACCTGAGCTTGGGTACGGGAAGCAGGTGCTGGGTTCTCCCTGTTGCCTTTACTCACCCCCAGCCCAGCTGCAGTGGCCTGGTATCCACAGCTCTCCCCAACCCACCAGCAGAGCCCAGGTACCTTGGGCAGGAACAAAACCAAGCTGTGTGTCTCAGTTACTCCTCTCATTGCGGGGACAAATACCCGACACTCAAAATGAAGGAAGGAAAGGTTTATTCAGCTCACAGTTACTGGAGGTTTCAGTCCATCCTCAGTTGGTCGAAGGCAGAGTGGCACATGGCAGAGAGCAACCTTTCATGGTGGGGGCGGAGTACAAGAGCACATGGCAGGAGCAGCAATGGCTACAGAGAGCAAGTCTGTCTCCCTTAAGTTGCATTTAGGCTGTCTGCCCCGGGTTGGGGGAAGTACTCACACCACTAATCCCAGCAGCACTCACACCCATAGTCCCAGTGGATCATGAGTTAATCAGGAACTCTAGAACTGCCCCATGACCACGTGAGGCTTTGGGGGGACGCTCATAACACCATGTTTTCTGTTCTCATGACCTGCCAGAGTCTCAGCAATCATGCAGATGGTAGTAGTCCTTAGTTCTATCTTGCCTACTCCTGTTTCCCTCTGTCTTAGGTCCCTACCTCAGGGACCCTTTGAGATAACTTCCATTTTATAGAGAGATGCTTGGAAATTTGATTGGTTTCACTTTGTCTTGTGCTATTAAATATGTAGAATATGTGCTCTAACTGGCTATGACTGTGTTTCTGTTTTCTTTCAGAATTGAATAAAGCTCAATTACACGCAGGTCAGTTTACTTTAGCACTTCTGTGAGCTCTGAAATCCAGCTAAAGGCCAATCAGGCATGATGCATGCTGATGATACCAGTACTCTGGGAGGCTGATGCAGGAAGTTTGCAAGTTGGAGCCCCTCCTGGGCAACTTAATGACTTGGTCAGACCCTTTCTCAAAATATAAATAGATAAAAGTAGACTGGAGTGTAGTGCTCTCTGCAATTTCTAGGTTCAGTCCCCAGTACAGTAGTGCCTCGCTATTTTGTAGTTCAGCTTTCTCAGACTCACTGCAGGTTTTCAAAAAATATTAATCTAAATTATTTATCATGATTTCTTGCTATATTGTGGGATTTTGCAATACTGTATACATATTTATATGTGTATAGTTTTAATGATTTTTGCCTTAAAAATTAAAATATATTAAAAATGTTAATTATCACATATTAAAAGAATATTAAATAGAAATAAAACACTGTTTGCAGTATGTATTTCTTTAGCAGATGAATACATACTGTACTATACATTATATGTTTTTTTTTTTTTTTATTAAATTTATTTATTTATTTTGTGTGTGTGTGTGGCCAGCCCAGCCCACCAGGGGGCGGGGCCGGCCGGCATGTGGTGCCGGGGACCAGAACCGCGGTCGCTGTGCTTTTGCTTAGCTTAGCTTGTTCTAAGTAGGTGCTCTAGACCACTGAGCCATCTCACCAGCCATATATATGTTTTTTGGGGGTTTTTTTGGTACATCTTGGTAACACATACTGATTACAGTCATTGTGGGTTGCTGGTACATTTACATGAATGACATCTTTTTTAAAATTTTTTAAAAAATTTTATTGAGAAATGAATAACGACACAGTTTCAAAACTGACTAATAAGGGGCTGGTGAGATGGCTCAGTGGTCTAAAGCACCTACTTAGAACAAGCTAAGCAAAGCACAGGGACCACAGTTCAATCCCCCAGCACCACATGCCAGCCAGCCCTGCCCCCTGGTGGGCTGAGCTGCCCCCCCCACACACACACAAATAAATAAAAATAAAAAAATAAAATTAAAAAAAAACTGACTAATAGGACAGTTTCAGTAGTTAATACATTGCACATCATTGTCTTTGTAGTGGTTATTCATAATACAAGATGCACACATGATATCCTGTCCAAACACTATTAGTACAAATCTTTCTTCTCATTGAACTAAGAGAAAGTAGCTGTGTATCTATCCTAACCATTTTGAATATACAGATGCAAAATGGTCCTTCATTTGTTTTGTTTTTTTGTTTTTTTTCTTTGCCTGTATTGTTTATTCTTTTTTTTCCCATAATTTTATTGAGAAACAAATAGCAATGAGAAGTTTCAATAACACATTGTATACATTCTTCCTAGTGGTTAATTGCTGTACAAGATGCGGACATAATATCCCATTTACAAACACCATTAGAACAAATCCCTCTATTCATTAAGAGAATGTAACTATATATCTATCCTAACCACTTTGAATACACAGATATGCATATGTTGTTAAAATTACCTAGGTTTATGAGTTTAGAAAATGGTTAAGAACATTACAAGTGTTTTTAAAAAGTGTGAGAAAGGTTTATAAGAGAGTAGGAAGGGTTTATAAAGCCTTAAAATATATACAAATACTAAAATGAATATAACATCACTACCTTGCTGATTTTCACTTACAGCAGGAGTATCTAGAACATAAGCTCAGCAATAAGTGAGGGACCGCTGTACCGCAAGTAAAAGGAGGAGTCCAAAGACCTAGAATAAGTAGTAATGAAAATACTAATACACTTACTGCAATGAACACAGAGGGTTCTTTTTGCTTTTGTGGGGGTTTTGGTTGGTCTGTTACTGTTTTGGTGGAGGAAGGTTGAGGTTTTTTGGTGTTTGAGACAGGGTCTCGCTGTGTAATGTAGTCTGACTTTGAACTTACTGCAATCCTTCTGCCTCAGCCTTGAAAATGCTGGGATTACAGGCATGGGCTACCGCATCCAGCCTCAAGACTTTAAACTGTGAGGGAAGCTTAGTATTTCTTGGTGACCCAAGAAGGGCCACTGAGGTCACATTAGGCACTCAGACTCCAGACACTGTCAGCTCTTCTGGGGTGCTGGCACCCAGGGCCCTGGAAGGAGCAGAGGCCAGGTGGTTACCATCCAAGGGGCCCTTTCCACTCCTAGAATGCTGCTTCATACTGAAGGGAGGGCAAATCCTGTAGCCTTCAACATTCACTGATGGTCACTCTCTTGTCTCTAGTTAAAGTGACTCTGGATGGAGACACGGCCCACTCCCACCTCCGCCTATCTGAGGATTCAAAATCTGTTCGACTAGAAGGTTTTCGTCAGAAGCTACCTGAAAATCCAGAAAGATTTGACTCCTGGCCCTGTGTGTTGGGCAAGAATCAGTTCACCTCAAAAAAACACTACTGGGAGGTGGAGGTGGGAGACAGGACTGACTGGTTACTTGGGGTGTGCAGAGAAAATGTGATGAAGAAAGGGTTCATCCTCATGTCTCCCACAAATGGCTTCTGGGTTGTGGAATGTTCTGAAAAGGGATACTGGGCCCTTGCCCCACTCCGGGTCCTTCTTTCACTGCCAGAGGCTCCTTGTCGGATTGGGATTTTCGTAGACTATGAATCAGGAGCTGTCTCTTTCTACAATGTAAATGATGGATCCCATATCTACTCATTCACCAACATTTCTTTCTCTGGCACCCTTCGTCCTATATTCTGTTTGTGGTCTTGTGGTGATAAGCCCCTGACCATCTGTCCAGTTGCAACTGGTGAACCTGAGGAGGTCAGAGTCTCTGTTGATGCCCAGGCCCATCAGAGACTGTTGCCCCCTGTGGAAGAAGATTCTGCCTGTGGTGTCACAGATAACCACTAGCCATTCTGGACAAGTGACAGTTTGTTATGGCAGGGTCTTTTCAGCTCCCCTCTCCAGTGTCCTCTCCTGAGCTGCTGCTTATCACCCAGAACCTCATCTTGTAAGTGCAGAGTAGTCTTAAGAAAATTGTGACTGGATTGGAAGCTTCTTAATGTTCTTTAGATCAGGCAGGCTTCAGGAGCTATGCTATAAAATCTAAAGTCATACAAATGATTTAAGAGGAAGAAACTTTTTGGTGTATGGAATAGATAATGATGTGAAGCAGTATGCTTTGCATGATGTACATAGGGAAGAATAAGGCCACACGTGGTGTACGTCTATAATCTCAGCACTTGGGAGGCTGAGGCAGGAGGATCATTCAGAGTTCAAGACAAGCCTGGGCTACATAGTGAGTTCCAGGCTAGTCTGAACTGTGTAGCGAGTCCCTGTCTCAAAAAAAAAAAGACAAAAGGAAGAATAAAGTGAAGTGACTATAGTTCTCTGTGGCAATGTTGGAGAGATTCTGGGTAGAGCTCTAGAGTAATGTGCAGAGTTTGCTTTTAACCACTGTCCTTCCTCCTAGCTATCCCTTGCACAGATCTTAATCTGACCTCTCATTAGCTCGGTTAAGTAGTCTTTTATGGATTTATGAACTCTCATCTTGAGAGACATTTGCAGGACTGTGAATGCTTTCCCCCTTTGGAACCCTAGCTACCTGCCCCCTAGACCCGAGTAGCCCTCACCCTCACCTGATCTCCCTGCTGCATCCTCACTTGCCAGTCCCCCACCTTCTCCATCCTGCTGAAGGAAGACAAGATTAAGTGCATACTGCACCAGTAGCCACGCTCAGCCATCCACAGGGGAATTTGTTAGTGGACATAGTTCCTTTCTCTTCATCTGCTTCTTGCTCAGCTAGGCACTTTGAAATAAACCCTAGGAAACCAGGTGTACTAGTGCACACCTGTAATCCCAGCACTCAGGAGCTGAAGCAAGAGGATCGCCTTGAGTTCCAGGCCAGCCTGGGCTACAAAGTGGTGAGACTCTGTAGTAGGATTTTACTAGAGGAACAGGCATAATACAAAGAACAAATATAACACAAGATGTAGCAGTCAGTTGGATGAGAAAGCATGCAAAGGGCGTCTGCACACCTGAAACTGAAGGATTCAGTCCTAAGGTCTGAAGCTCACTGCAGTGATTCTGTGCAAGTGTCTATCAGTTGGCCGTGGGGTCTTCGACGGAAGCTCAAGAGTCTGCAACAAAAATTTAAAGGATCCAAACCAAGGGCGAAGAGTTTGCACTGTAGCCAGGAGATGAAGTCCAAACTGACTGTGAAGACCGAAGTACTTCTGAGAAAGTGGAATGCAGAATCCTTCCTGGACATCCCTTGTTTTGTGCTGAGTTACTCAGGGGGCGGGGCCCCCTCAGCCCAGAGTGGAACTGCCGAGGCAGTCCAACCAAGATGACACAATCTATTGACCACTACAGACTATGTCAAAAAAGTAAACCCAAGACTGGAGCCAACCTAGGGAGAGCTCAGCCTGGCAACACAAGGTCCTGAGTTTGATTCCTAGTACAAAACAAAACCAAAAAAAAGTTAAAAAAAGACCATGGAGCCAGGTGGTAGCTTGGTGTGTCACATTCCATGAAGAGATTGCAAAGTCTCCAACTTTATTTAGCTTCTTGTGCAGTGTTGTCACTCATCTCCTATTCCTCCTGGCGTGCTGGAGCCAGCTCACACCAGCTTGGGGCAATGAGCTGATAAATTTCTAGGAGTATGATGAGCTAAAGTCATTGAGAGCAAGAGTTGCCAAACAATATAAAACACGTCTTTTATTTTCTTGACTGCATAATTATTGGTGTGCTACTGCTTTATTTTCATAACTCCTTAAAAATTATTACATTTTGGGCCAGGGAGATGGCTCAGAATAAGCACTTCCCTGGCAAGCACGAGGGCCTGAGTTCAATCCCTGGTTCCGCCAAAAAAAATTTTATTACATTTCTCATCAAGCTGTACTCATCAGTATGTTTTTGTTAGTGTTTGGGAAATAAATTTCCATGAGTCTTTCAGTTGTCTGTGCCTAGCTCTTTTCCCATAAGCTATGGTTTTTTGTTGCAAGGTTTAGAGTGCACATTGATTTAGTTTTTGGGGTTATAGCAGAAACATTAGTCGGCTAAATGTTTAAATTCCATAATTTCAAACATTGACTTTTAGAGACAAAAGTAAAGAATTTAGAGACACACAGTAACACTAAACCAACGTCACAGCCATTCACCAGGTAGTGGAGAAAACTGCAAGTTAGAATGAGAAGAGTAAACTGGTCTGGAGTCAGAGCTTTAGGAAGGATATTGAGGAAAATCCTTTATCCCATTAGCTCAGGAGTCGTCATATAAAGGGAGAGGCATGAACCTAGGACCAGCTTCTGCTGGAACTAGGAGCTGGACCTGAGCTCCTAAGGGAGAGATCTCCTGTCATGTTATTTCCAATGCTAAACCTTTCCTGTGTGCTGCACCCTTCCACAGGCGGCGGGAGCAGCACCTTCCTTTACTGTCGTCATGGGTGCTGAAGTGCTTTGAGATTGAGGCACATGGCCAGCTGCACAGTATTCATGGCTCAGGGACTGTTATAGTCCCCCAAAGTTCATGTGTAAAATTGTCCCCACACTGATGGAAACATGGAAGTGGGGTCTGATGGGATGAGGGGGGTCCTTTGATTGTGCCCTGAAGGGAGCATTGGGCACTGTCCCTTTCCTTGCTGCCCTCTCCCTGCTTCCCAGGCTCTATGAAGTGAGCAGCCTGGCTCAGCCACCTTCTCCCAGTGACCGGCCAGTGTGAGGTGTAACAATGTAGAGCCCTTAACCTGAGCTCCACCCCAGGTTCAGAGGTCATTGGGATGGCAGAGGCCTGTGCTGTAATTGCATTTCATCAGTTACACCCTGTCTAGTGGCCTTCCTTGATTTCCCCATGGCATTGCTGCTGTTTCCAACAAATGCCCATGGTCTTACTTCTCTGGGACCTTCTGAGATCAGGATTCTCAAAAGTGTTTCATTTGAGAATGGTGGTATGTGCCTATAATGCCAGCTACTCCAGAGGCTGAGGCAAGGGGATCATGAGTGTCAGGCCAGCTTGAAAGTTAATGAGGCCCTCTCCCACAAAGGGCTGGGGACATAGCCTAGTGTTTTGCGGTGCACCAGGGTTCTTCAGTACCACAAAAAAAAGTGTTTCAAGTCCAAGATGCTTTCAGGAGATCCATGAGGTCTAAGTTTTTGTAATGGCTGGCCATGGTGGCACACACCTGTAGTTTCAGGATTTGAGAGGCCGACACTGGAGAATTACTGTGAGTTTGAGGCTAACCTGGGCTTGTAAGCTCAAAACCAGCCAGACCCTGTCCAAAACACATCTATAATGCTATAAAATACTCTTTAACTTTGCCCACACCCCATACTAGGGATTAGACCCTGGACCTTTACATTGAGCCACATCTCCAGCCCTTTTTGAGATGAATTCCAGCTAAATTTTCCCGGCTGGGCTTGAGCTTCTGTTTCTCCTACCTCAGCTTCCCAAGTACAAAGATAATAGACATGTGCTAAAATGATAGTTTTAAAAAATAAACTAAAAAACAGCCAGGCATGGTGGCACATGCCAACAATCCCAGCACTCCAGAGGCTGAGGCAGGAGGATCTTTGCAAGTTGAAGACCAACCTGGGTTACAAAGTGAGCACGAGGCCAATCTGAACTGGGTAGCAAGACCCTGTCTCAAAATAAAAAATAATTTAAAAAAATAATAAAAACAGATTTGTGACACACCATTTTCTCCTACTTTGCTCTTTGGCTGACAATTAAGATGTGTGGCAGTTTGAAGGTCAGTGAAGACTCAGGACATTAGGAGAACCTATACTGTAACATCATGTAACTCAATTGTGTCCCAAATTTTCTGATCAAGGAGATTATGGGGGCTACAGAGCAATGTGATCGATGATGTAGAGTGTGCCTAAGGAGAGTCACCTGGAGAGAATACATTCTCTCAGGCTTTCACAGAGAGCAAATTGGCTAAGCAATGGCCGTGACTCATCCACATGGCTGACACAAAGGATCTGCAAACTGCGGTACAGGGTTACAGGATAAATCCTGAGGGTACTTGACTGACCTTACCAGATACAAAAGTTACATTTCTTGTTATATAGGTCTTGCTTTATCTTGGTCTTAACCATCCAGCAGAAAAGTATAAAAACGAGGTATATAAAGTAAAGCCATATTAATATGCTGAGCTGTGAAATGCTCAAGTCAACAACTTCTGTGGATAATCCACTACTATTGTGGACTGCTGGACTGTGTTGGATTGTTTTGCTAAATTCACGCACCTATACTATTTAGATACCAATGGAATACCCATTTCTGACAGGACTAAACAAAAAAGGGATAGAAAGGAAAAACCATTCTGTATCTGTATATGCAAAATAGTTGGCATAGATATACAGCTACTTTTGCTTAATTCAATGAGAAGAAAGATTTGTACTAATAGTGTTTGGACAGGATATCCTGTCTGCGTCTTGTACTATGGATAGCTACTAGGAAGATAACAATGTACAATGTATTAATTATTGAAACTGTCCTATTAATCAGTTTTGAAACTGACTTATTGCTATGTGTTTCTCAATAAAATAAAAGATGTGTGGCAGCCATATCTTTCCTGAGACTCCTGCCAGTCTGATTATGAACTGGAGTTACTAAAGCAACAGCTTGATGATTGTTAGTGAGTTCAAGGCCAGCCTGAACTATATATAGCAAGATCTTGTCTCAGAACCAAACAAAAAGCAAAACAGATAAGAAAACTAGTTATTTTAAAGCTAAACATGCCAGAGCAACATATAAACCTAGCATTGGGGAGCTCAAGTTTAAACCCTGCAACAACTTAGCAAGACTATCAAAGAAGAGTTGGAGTTGTACCTCTGTGAGGGCCCTGGGTTCAATCCTTAGTCTTGCAAAGATGGGGGGAACCTATCACTGTAGTGTGACACTCTTAAGTGTCATAGGTGACACTCAGCTTGGTGCTTGAGTTGGCACTGGGTGTTATATACCTACGGCGAGGGAACCAGGACATAGTGCTGTGCTGAAAGAGAACCACAGGACTCCCTGAGGGAAAGGGAAATCAACAAATGAAGGAGCCAGGCATGATTGCACATGCCTGTAATCCCAGTACTCGGTGGCTGAGGCAGAAAGAGCACTGTAGGAATCATTTCCAAGTCCTTGTCTCGGTCCAAGAAGCCAATATTTGTAATCCCAGAGTTATGTTATTGGAATCCTATCAAGTTAATTCCAATTTACCACAAACAGTGTAACCCATGGCAAAAATAAAGACACTAGATTATATTTTCAATCATTGGGAATA